AGGTCCTGGCCCACCTCCCACCGGTCTCTCCATTGGAGAGGGGAGGATTCCGTCTTTGGGGTCCCTGCATGGAAAGCAACTGTTCTTCCCCCGGGCTCGGACCCTGTCCCCGCAGAAGAGCAAGGACCGCTTGTGCCAGCTGCAGGTCTCAGAGGGTCCTTCAGCAAGACACCTCAGGGGTCCCCCTCAACCTATTGAGTGATGGACCCACCCACTCACCACTTCCCCAGCCAGCATGGCTTTGTCCAACGCATCTGGAGGGCTAAAGGTTGAGGAAGGCCAGCGGAGCGAGTGGCTCGGCCCTGTTTAAGGTGGCTTCCATTCTAGGAGATGGTTGCAACATTCTAAGAGCAGACTGACTTATAGTGTCCATTCTGTTAAAAACAGGTTTGGGGGCAGTTTTAGGTTGAGTAGGGGAGGTAAGCCATGGAGGGCACCTCTGGGCTGGCCCCTGGGACATCAGCTACGGACTGCTACTGTCTGCGGATAGTTTTGCAAATGTTCAAAAATGCCTTTAGGTTGATTTGCTTTTGAGAGAGAGAGAGAGAGAGATTTATATCCTGCCTTTTCCCTACAAAGGGCTCAAGGCAGCTTGCATCATTCTCCTCCTCCATCTTATCCCCACAACAACAACCCTGTGAGGTAGGCTGGGCTGAGAGTCTGTGACTGGCCCAAAGTCACCCAGCTGGCTCCATGGCCGAGTGGGGACTCGAACCCGGATCGCCTGAGTCCCAGTCCCACGCTCTCACCACTACACCACACTGGTTCTTCTTAAGACTGGCTTAGAGAGAGAGAGAGAGAGGGAGAGAGGTCAAGTTGAAAGATGCAAGGGTTAGGTACATGAATAAGTGTACAGCCCTCACTTTACAAAGGAAAGAGGAAAATGGGTGGCTGAGCTAGAAAGGAGAGGGAAGACTGAAGGCTGTGACAGCCATTGGGGACAGAAGCCAGGCCAGGCCACATGATGACGAGGCTTTCACTGGCCCCATGAGACACGAGGCTAAACATTCCCCTTCAGTGGCAAGAGGGGCAGGAAGAATAGCACGTTCCACTGCGAACGGGCACGTGGCTTGGGGAAAAGGGACCCTCTCGTTTCCTCACCATAGTCCAGGCACAGCTGTCATTTACCCTGGAAGGCGCACTTCCGCGTGCACAGACGGCAGGTTCCTCTGGGGCCGAAGGCCAGCCCTGGACCACCACGTTGCCCTTGGCTTTTGCGTCTTGGTGATCTGTCCCGCGTCATGGCTAGCAATCTGTCCGTGCACCTACAATTCCAGGTTCTGCTCAGCTCCAGCAAGCTTTTGCTCATCCATCCAGTGACCCACCTCAGATATTTAGCGCTAAGGTTAAAAGCAGAATGATGAATGGAATACTGTGGCTGGAAACGTCATTCCCCCTCTCCCAGCTATGGTGAGGATTGGAGCTAAACTAAGGTGGGCACATATGAATTGCCGAAAAGGAGGAAATCTTTCACCGAAAAGGTGTTCGAAGGGGCACACCGATTGGCATGAAATTGGCACATGCTGCTCAATATGCATACATGCAATTTTAGAAATAATAACTATTATTTGAATAGAAATGAAATACATTTTATAGGGGTGTGTGAGGAATCTGTTGTACTTCTCAGCTTGGCTTCCTGGATGCTGCCCCCTTTTCTCTCTTCCCCAGGTCTGTCCCACACCAACGGTTTCCAGGAGTGTCTGGCAGGAAGCAATTCCAAGTGGAGTTCTTTTTCCACACACGTCCTGTGGGCTTTGTGTACTTTGCACAAAGAATGCGTCATTTGTGTGGCTTGCACAATTGCACATCTCTTGCACAAAGAGTGATGCGCTTCGTGTACCAAGCATTTGCAGACTTGATCTCGGCTCAGCCGGCTCCCTGGCCAGGGCTGTGTGTGGGAAAGCGAGTGCCAAGAGGCCAAGTTCTGGCATAGTGCGGAGGAGTGTGTGCCCACTTGTGCAATCAATTGCCACCCGGGATCACCTGGTGACCGTTTGCTATCTTTAATCTGAAATTTGACAGGGCGGTCTTGGCTAGAGAGCAAATCGAAATAGATGGGAGCAACCCTTGAAATAGAGGACTGCCCTTTGTTAAAAAAAATGACACATGGCCACCCTAGTTCAGAGGGAACACGGAAGCCTCGGGGGGGGGGGGGGCAGCAGATGGCATCAGGATTCCTGCCCCCCCCCCAAAGCGCTAGCGCTACCTCTCAGCAAAGCCCAGATTGCAGTCACAGCTGGTTCAAGGCGAACAAGGGGGCTCTTCAGAGTGCGGACGAAACGCAAGGACTCTGTTTCTGCTTGCAAGACATGCAGGCCTGCCTTGTGGGTAAACCAGAACGCGGGTGCAAGCAGGAGAATGTGTTCTCCGAGTTCTCAAACATGCACCCATGTTAAAAAAATCACACAACTCCCCCTGAAAAAGCCATTCACAAATTGCACAACTTTTGCCTCTGGGGGAACTTTGCGAATTTGCCCATTTGTAATTCTTTGCGCAACCTTTGGGTTTGGTCAGGTTTGTTTTTGCAAAGCAGGAAGGGGTCCCAACTGGCCGAGGGGAACGAGGGGAGAGGAACCTCAGCTGGGGGCACAGAGGATCGGGGTGACGGGAACTGCATTTGTGAGTGCACCCCGAAGTGCCCACCGAACGAACACGAGTGAGTTGCACTGACCTGCGGGGGGCGGGGGGGGGGTTCCAGGGCACGACGTCACTTTCTTGGCTGGTCCTGCAAGAGTCCCTGCGAAGACACATATCCTGTTTTCCTTTGCATTCCTTCTTCTTCCTTATGGGAATACCCATAATAGCACACGGCCACTGCGCCAGAAAGAAAAGGAGCATATTAGATTTGTAAGAGCAATAGCGAAGAGGAAGTGAGGCCCAGAAAGCTTGGAAGACGTTCAAAGGAATGTCTGGGCAGAGGGAAAGGAGAGGGTGAGAGAGACCCCCCTCTGCAGTCTGGAAATGCTTTGTTTGGGAATTATTATGGGTTGCGGGGCCATTAAGGCCTCCAACGTTAAGTGCAAGCAACAAGGAAAGAACAAACCAATAGCTATTAAAAGGCTGGGCTGTCCGGTGTTAGGAAAATTTGGGTAAATCCTGTCTGAAAAGCATTACTCCTGTGTGCCTTTGCATTGTGGGATCAAATCCTGTACTCCTTCTCAAAACCAAGCTGTCACTGTTTCAAATGGCCTTCATCCCCCGCTCCTTTCTCTCACCTTTGGCTGTAGGCTACAGTAGACAGGCCATTCAGTCCAAATATACATTGTAAATAGTCATTGTTGGAATTCAGTTTGCAAGGAAGTATCTTTTGATAGCCCAGAGGCTCCATGTGCCCTGGCCAATTCAGAATGTCTAGAGTCTGGATAAGAGTCTTGAGTTCATGCATAGTTTCAGTAGCTTGAATTTGCATGTCTGAGCAGACCTGGAGATGGGTTCAAGCTACTGAACTAAAGTGTCAATACAGGCAATTAGAAATATTGTAATCCCATTGTTACAGTGTGATTGACTGACATTTCTTTATCTGTTCTGTATGCGATGACCTCAGAACCTTATTGTAATGTCTACATTCTGTCATCAATTGCCCTGTACCTGTATGTGACTGGGAGTGTATAAAAACTCTCTAGTTGTGTTGAAGTTTTGCAGCAGAGTTCACTCTGCCTGCACGGTAATGCATTATCGTGAGTATGGCCTCGCGAGGAACCTGGGTGAAACTAGATGGTCTGGACGCTTGGTCTTTCCCACGAACCCGAGTTTTATTCCCTCTTCTCAAATTGAGATTCCGGGATTCTGACACCGGCTGTCACTTTGCAGCTTTCACCTCTCCATGCCTTACATTTCTGGATTCAGACAAATCACGGAGGGCAGTTCCTTATTTAAATAAAAAATTTCAACCTCTCCTCTTTTCCTCACAAAAGCACCACAAGCCATACACCCTACTTAGAGCCAGGGTGGTGTGGTGGTTAAGAGCATGGGACTGGGACTCGGACGATCTGGGTTCGAGTCCCCGCTCAGCCATGGAGCCAACTGGGTGACTTTAGGCCAGTCACAGACTCTCAGCCCAACCTACCTCACAGGGTTGCTGTTGTGGGGACAAGATGGAGGAGGAGAATGATGTAAGCTGCCTTGAGCCCTTTGTAGGAAAAAGGCAGGATACAAATCGCAATATAAATAAATAAATAAATAAAAATACTTTGTAGAGAATAGTCCTCTATTTGAAGGGCTGCAGAGAAGGATTTTCTATATCAAGACACCCTGCATCCACAGATACCCAGAAATCCGTCTGAGCAGGGGCGCAGCTCCTGGTCATGGCCTTCCCCACTGTGGTGAGAGCTGTTCATCGCATTTTAATGCTGCTCATTGCCAAAGCAATGTGGGCAGTTTACAAAGATTAAAAAGCCAGTGAGTCTAGTGGTTAGAGCATTGGACCAGAACCCAGGATGTCCAGGTTCTAGTCCCCACTTCTTTTATCTTTACCTGGTCCTGAAAAGGTGCTTTTTTTGGTGCCAGGCAGATCTCCCTGGGGAAAATATCCCATCATCATCGCCATTATCCATTACATTTATACTCCACCTTTCTTCTCCTGCAAGGAAGCCAAAGCAGCTTATAAGGTACTTTTCTCCATTTAATCCTCACAACAGTCCTGCGAGGTAGCTTCAGCTGAGAGACCCCTGCAGGCCATGAGTGGCATCCCTTTAAAGTCAAGGAAATGTATGCAAATTCAGGCCACAATGTGAGTTGTAACTTGCACAAATTGTGTGAAGAGTAGTCATCATTTACACAGTTTTGCCTGTAAATCAAAGCCTGCTTCAAAAATGGAAGGCCGCGTGTTGGTTCAACTCACATCAAAGCTGGTCCCAGTGCTGGGTTCCTCTGAGAGCCACGCCACCAGATTTTGACCCCACAACCTAGTTCCTTGCACTTAGGTACTTAAAAGGCTCTTCTTCAACCTCGTACCATTCATAAGTACGACTCATTCTCTCTTTCTCTCCCTTTTTCTGTAGAGAAACATGGAGGCATTTTGTCACAGCAAAGACCTTCAGCAGATACCTCAAGAACTTCATCCCCATGTAGACAAAATTGACCTTTCTGACAACAAGCTTGAAAACATCACCGAGACCCCCCTGGTCTTTTATACTTCCCTCCGACGCTTGGACTTAAGCGGTAATCGTATCAGCTTCATCAAGCCCGAGATCTTTGCAGGTATGAAGCATCTGCAGGAGCTTGATTTAGCCAAGAACAAACTCTATCGGTGGGCCCAGGAGGAGCTCTGGATTGGGCTTCTGCCACAGGTAAGAACACTAGACTTGTCTCGCAACCAGCTGTACAACAGCATGGCCGAGCGTTTCCTCCACGAAGCCCCAGCCCTTCAGTACCTGTCCTTGGCAGAGAACAGCATAATCAGGATCTCACAAAGGACATTCCGGGGCTCTCCAGGGCTGGTTGAGGTGAACCTGCATAATAATATGATCATGGAGATAGAAGAAGGAGCCTTCGAACCTCTGCTCCATCTCTCCAAACTCAATCTCTCCATGAACTCACTCACCTGTATCGCCGGTTTCAACCTGAGGCAGCTGCAGATCCTTGACCTCAGCCGGAACAGCATCGAGACCTTCCACTCGACGGACTCCAAAGAGGAGTTCAATCTGATTTGGTTGGACCTGAGTGAGAACAAGATGCTCCAGTTCCCAGTCCTCCCACAAGTAAACAAATTAGCCTACTTGAATTTAACCAAGAATATCCTGCAGTCTGTGATGGTGCAGCTCATTAGTGACGATCTGGAGCACGGGTGGCAGGACGGCCCTCTTCATCTTTTGGTTCAAGACCAAAAGAGAAACGCAAGCTCCCCTTCCTTGCCAGGGCTGCTGCATTTGGACCTGAGTTATAATGAGATAAAATCCATCCCACGTGAGTTCTTTGCTTCCATGTCCGCTCTTCAGTTTCTTAACCTTAGCAAAAATTGTCTCCAGACTTTTGCGGCAAGTTCTGAGCTGGTGTCACTGGCCATCCTGGACATCAGCTTTAACTCTTTGAAGGATCTGGAATGGGATGAAGGCATGCTGGCCAACTTGCAGGAGCTCAACCTTCAGGACAACAGCCTCCAGGGCCTGCGGTCGGACATCTTTGCAAGCCTCCCACTTCTCTGGCTTCTCAACCTCCGAAGCAACAACGTCAGCCTTTGCAGCTGGTACTCGGGTCTCGCCAGAAGAAGACTTGCGGCTGAGGACAACGGCTGCGTCTCTTTCGCTAACCTGCCACGACTGCGGTATTTGGATCTGTCCGACAACAAGTTGAAGAACCTCCCTGTGAAGGGTTTCTACGGAACTCAGCTCCTGGCCTTGGACCTCTCAGTGAACTGGGGGCTTCACATAGAGGAGAAATCCTTGTCGGGCTTGGAAACCTCTCTCGAACACTTGGATGTGCACGGTAACGGCATGACGGCTCTCAGCGTCAACTTCCCTCTTTTCTCTCGCCTCAGGTATCTCAATCTGTCGGACAATAAGCTCAGCTGGCTGCCTCCTTGGTCTGAGAACTGTTGTGTGTTGGAAGTTCTGGACCTGCGGAATAACAGCTTCAGCAGCCTGAAAAGCAGCAAGATTCCCACCTTGGAGAAAAGGCTACGGAACTTGTATCTAGCGGGGAACCCTCTCAGCTGTTGTGGGAACCTTTGGCTGTCTCACATGATCCATAAAGCCGCTGTGGAGATTCCCAACTTAGACCGCGTCAAATGCCAGCACACCAGGAACTTTGGCTACGAAGAAGAGCAGGTGAGCGTCAGCAACATGAAGCCGGAAGACTGTGAAAAGGAGGACCACAAGGAAATGAGCGTGCTGATTTTGCTGGTCGTCGTCCTCGCGCTGTCGTTGCTCGTCATCGGCGTGGGCGTATTTTGTTGCTATCGCAGGAATGTATTTGGCCGTCACTATAAAGCATAGACGGCCAGCATGTCCGCGAGGGCACTTGCGTCTTCCAGCCAGCTTCCACATGGCCAGACGGGCCAGCGGATTCCACCGAAGTGCTACTGGGGCCATGCGAAACGCCGGCTTGCGGTCTGAGATTCACACTGGCTTGTTCACACGCGCCAGTCGTCACTCGATGAGCAAGTTCGTGAGAAACAGAGCCAAGGGTGATCGCTGGGGCTCCTCAGCTGATGAAGAGAAACCCAACCGGGTCTGCCCTGGTGTTCCTAAACTTTTGGCAGCCGGGGTGCAGACTTGTTTTGCACAGCTTCATTCTTACTCCAAAACTACTCACTTTTACTCCCACAACCAGCGCTCACAACAGTTGGCAGGCGTTTCCCTTGCAGGTCTAGGATGCCCTACGTCTTGTTTCCTCCCGGCTTCCTGTCCTCCGGGATAACTTGGCTAACGTTGCCTCTTGGCTTCTTGTCTTCCAGGATACCCTGGTTATTGCCGCCTGGCTTCCTGCCCTCCCCTTTGCCCAGTCAGGCAGTGCTGCTTGGGTGCCTTCTGAGCGAAGGGCAGGCTCCGGGACTCTCCCGGGCTGCCAGCTGCGATGCGGGCATTGCAGCAAACCCCTTCCACCATCATCCCCTTCCTTGAGATGCCAGCAGTGTTTGCCGGTTGGCAGAGAGGAACCAGTGCTGCCGCCTTGCACTCGGGGGTGGAAACGTGCAAAAGCAGCACTCGTGCCGGCTTCACCTGTCGTTGCAACCTTGCTCACCACACACTGTGTGTCTTCCAGAACAGATACTGCCACTCTCCAATCTGCAGAGTATTCTGGCGTCCGACGGGTAGGAACCATCTCTTTGCAGCTCAGGGGTAAAGGCCAGGTTTTGCAGGCAGGATGTCCCATGACTGACCCCTGGCTGGAAAACCTCCCTCCTCCAATGGCAGAGAGCCTCAGCCACCAGCGCTTAGTGGTCCATGGCTAGATAGACCAAGAACCTCACTTCTAATCTGGCTGCCTGTCTGCTGCCCCCAGCATGCAGCCTCTGCATGCTGGCCATGGCACCTGCAAGTTTTTAGGCACCCCTTCCCCATCTGAACTCCTTCAGATATACCAGAGAATTGCCATTGCAGCTGGGAAGTAGGTGAGCGGGAACCCTGGAATCCTGTGTCCAGTTCTGGGCACCAAGATTTAAGAAAGATGCAGGAAAATGAGAAAGGGTCCAGCGGAGGGCAACAAAAATGACCCAGGGTTTGGAAACACTGTCCTGTGAGGGGAGACTGAGAGAGCTGGGCATGTCCAGCCTTGGGAAGAGAAGACTGAGGAGGGACATGTGATCCCTCCATAAGTCCCTCAAAGGCTGTCACAAGAGGAAGGTCAGGAGCTCTTCCTGCTGATGCCAGAGCGCAGGACACGGAATAATCAAGTCAAGCTGCAACAACCCAGATTCAGGCTAGATATCAGGAAAAGCTTCCTCACTGTCAGAGCAAGACAACAGTGGGACCGGCTGCCTGGAGAGGTGGGGGGCTCTCCCACATTGAAGGCATTCAAAAAGAAACCAGACAGCCACCTGAGTGAGATGGTATGACTTGGAGTCCTGCAACAGCAGGGGTTGGACTAGATGGCCTCTTCCAACTCTCCTGTTCTCTGATTCTATGAGCTACAGCCCTGATCACCCCCAGATGAAGCCCTTGTGGAACTGCTGTTTGCACTTTAATGGGGCATCTTTTCTAACCCATGTTTTCAATGAACTAAGCCTAAGACTGCAAATATTCTCAAAGGGTCGGAGGAACCCAACTGGGGATACTTGGAAAAATGAGAAATTTCAAGAAACCCAAACAGAGGTCATTGTGCAACCCTGCATTGTAAGGGGCTTTCCCCCCACCCCCCTTAATGGGTCTTCTGTAGTACAGAAACCCAAAGGGCAGAAGGAGTGCTGGAAAAAGGGGAGGGTTTGAAGGAGAGGGAAAGGCCTCCAAGCACCCCAGTAACAGGCCGTGGGTGAGGGTCAAGATAGACGTCATGCTTGTGGTGCCAGTCCAAACATGTCCCCAGACTAGGTTCAGCAGCATGGATAGCGCTTTTAAAGCTCAGGCTGAAACTTGGCGTGAACAGAGCACCCCACTGACTTTGGAGTCTCAAAGGGGTGTCCCTTTACTCTTCAGAGTAAAGCTCTGATCTGAATCATACATATCACATCCCTGCTGAGCCAGACTTGGCCCATAGGTATACTCTAGAGTAAAAAGGGGGAAATGACGTAACTGCTGGGTATTGATTTAAGGGAATGTCTGATTTGGCCTTCAAGTAGGGAGATTACAAGCTAGACAAAACACAACTGGAAGTATTCCAAGCCTTGGGCAAAAAGCGGTCTTTCGCCGCCTCAGCCACATGGGGGCCTTTCGCTCAGCTCTGTGGGCCACATCTGACTCTCCGACCCCTTTCCCAGCCCCACTGTCCTTTCTAGAAAGTTGCCGTGCCTTTTCCCCCTGGCTTAATTGGGTTCCTTGAAAGGAAAGAAGGCAGGATAAATATATTAAACCAACAAATAACTGGTAGCAAGAACTTGAAGGTGGTATTTGAGCCTCGTGCCTTTTGTCTTGGCCTGACTCCTTTCGCTCTCAGTCTGGCCCACCCCCAGGATGCGGCCCCTGTGAGTGTCTGACCCTGAAGGAGACTGCCCCTCCGATTAAACCGGGAAGGCTGGCGCTGCATTAAACATGCAGTGTGAGAAGTGGCTCTTTTCTCCTGGTTCATGTGGCCAGAATTGCTTGCTCTGCCTGGCAGCTCTGGTGTTTCCAGCTGTGGCAAATTAACAGTTCCAAGCAGTTGGCATTTAGATGATTTGAGTGACTAGTCGTCAATGATCAGAGCTGGTCGCTATATATTCTGATCGAATTTGTCTCCAAAATAGCTCTGTCGGGTAAGTCAAGCTGAGATAAAGTAACCAGCCCAAAGAAACGGGTTGTCCTACGTTCATAGGTGATGGTCTAGCCCCTCATTTATGGGTCAAGCTCAAAATCACCGAAAGAAAGCCTGTCTTGTTCTCAGCTTTTGCTTAAGCAACACAAACCGTGCCTTGCGATACAAAGAAGAGCTTGAATGTGCTTGGGAGCAGAACAGATTAAGATTGCAAAGGAGGCCTGGTGCGTTGCAGATGGATTCATGACCTACCTCACACGGCTGTTGTGAAGGCCAGCACAATAAAGATGGTAGCACACTTTGCCAATTGTCTGATGTGCAGCGTATGTGTGGGAAAGTTGTGCATCGCGAGGGATCCAGGGCCATTTTCAAGGGGGCTGATTTTTAAACCACGTTGACCGGGTTCAGACGATCCATTTCAACAACCTCAGTGGGAAGCGTCTTCTTGTGCGCTGCCCAGAGAGTTTGGGCCGTTGGGTGGCGTAGAAACCAAACAGCAACAGCACAACCACCCACACCTCATCCTTAAGCCTTGAATGTGGCTTCTCCTTTCATCTAGACCCAAGCGGCATGTCCGATATTCCCAAATTCTGCAGGATCTGGGTGGCAGGTCCATGTGGATGGGCAGGTCCTTTGGCCTCTGCAGCAAAGCACTCGCAGAGAAACAGGGCTCCGCTCTGGCTGTGCCGGGGACATGTGATTTTTTAGGCCTGGTATCCAGCGATTCCTCCCCTGAAGACAGGATGCAGACAGATGAGGGAAGCAGCATATGGAAAGAGTTGTTCTTGCGGAAACAAGGAGCGCAGTGGCAAAAAAATCTCCTGGCTGCAGTTCAAGGAAAGGCTGCCAGGAAGAAGGTTTTCCGCGCATGATCGCAGCATGGCAGGGAACCCAGAAGTATCTAGGGGACTGGCAGCCGGTGGGTGGCGTGGCCCGCGGCTTCGACAGCTGCAGCGCCCCTCCAGCGGCGGGTCCCCTCTGCCTCTGTGTGTGGCAGCTGGGTCCGGGAGTGGCTTCCAGGGGAGCAGCACGCCAGTGCCGGAGACCTGCGGGGGGTCCCCGGACTGCCGTCCGAGGGGCTTCCCACTCCTGCAGCAGAGATTGTCCCCCACGGTGGGGGACAGGTCCAGGGGAAAGACACTGTGGCGTAGTGGTTTGAGTGTTGGACTGGGGCTGGGAAGACCCAGGTTCTGGTCCCCTCCTGGCTGCAAGTCTCGCTGGGTGACTTTGGACCAGTCACAGACTCTCAGCCTAACCTACCTCGCAGGGCTCTTGTGAAGAAGACCATGTAATATCTAGCCTTTTGCACTATACAAGAGTGGAAAAGGCTAGATATTAACCGCTCTGGTTCAGACACGGCGGAGAATCTGTCCTGCCGGCAGATCCGGTTCACCTGGAAAGACGCCGCCTTGGCTGCAACAGAACCTCGTTGGCAAGACCTGCTGGCAATTAAGCGCAGCCCCTCCGGGCATTGCCTCTCTGCTCTGCACTGAGACCGAGGGCTTCCTTGCGGACACAGGGCTTGGCCAGGTCCACCTTCCCTTCTCTTTGGCCCCGATGGAGCCTCTGAGCTCAGGAAGCGGTCGGTCGGGAGATGCCAGCCCTGGCCACCCACAGCGACGTCCGTCCCAGTGAAGGTCGCATCGCTCCCGGCCAGTGAGGGCTGAAGCAAACCAGTGCGCAAGATGCTCCGTTTTGAAAGGGGTCACGCGCTGGGTCAGCCGCGGTTGGACACTGACGGTGCCTGGGAAACCCTGCGTCCCTGGAAAAGTGGCCAGTGAATTAGGTGATGGGAAGGTTCCCCTGCACGGACGTGCCAGTCCTGTCCTGTTCGCAAGCCGAAGAGCCAGTGCTGTCCGAAGACGCCCCCGTGGCCACAGGGCAGCACGACTGAACACGGAGCCGCACAGAGCACTGTTAGCTTTCCCACCGAAGCGGTTCCTATTTCTCTCCTCGTATTTGCACGCTTTCACATTGCTAAGTAAGCAAGAGCTGGGGCAAAGCGGCGGAAGCTCACGACTCGCACGGATCGGAACTGCCGACCTTCTGATCAACAGCAGCTCAATGGCTTAACCCGCTGCGTCGCCTGCACAGTGGTTCCCGTAATCCTGCTCCTCCTCCTCACCATCTCATTCTCACAACCACCCTGTGAGGTAGGTCAATCTGAGAGTGGCACAGAATCACTGAGAGGGCCAGTGTGGTGTGGTGGTTAAGAGCACGGGACTGGGACCCAGGTGATCCGGGTTCGAGTCCCCGCTCGGCCATGGAGCCAGCTGGGTGACTTTGGGCCAGTCACAGATTCTCAGCCCAGCCTACCTCACAGGGTTGTTGTGGGGATAAGATGGAGGAGGAGAATGAGGTAAGCTGCCTTGAGCCCTTTGTAGGGAAAGACAGGATATAAATCGGAAAATAAATGAATAAATCACCCAGGGAACTTTATGGGCAAGGACAGATGAAAGCCGGGCCTTGCTGAGTCCCAGACCAGCGCTCTAACCTTTATGCTGGTTGGACTGGCAGTCGGTGGGATGAAGCTCTGAAATTCTTTCCTACTCTCCCTTTCCCAGTCAGTTTTTCTCCTGCTGGGGCTCCATGCCCAGAAGATTCAGGCAGAGGGATTTTGGAGATGAGAAGCATCCAGCGGAGCAGCAGGAATGCCCCTCCCTTGGAGTGGCTGCACCGGGTCCGGGCAGATCCGGGTTCTAATCCCTACCTGGCCATGGAGCTTCCTGGGCGACTTTGGGCCAGTCATGGGCTCTCAGTCCAGCCTACCTCACAGGGGTGTTGTGAGGATAACACAGAGAGGTGGGTTC